GTCTCACACCTGCAATCTCAGCACCCAGGAGATGAAGGCTGGAGGACCAGAAGTCAGGCAGGGATGGGATGGACTAGAATGAACCTTGGAGGTGGGAGGTGCCAATGTGGGATGGGTGGCCTCCTCTAAGAATGTGTTAGGGGGCTGATGAGGAGCCAGGCAGAGCAAGATCTGAGGAAGCACACAGCAAGTGCAGAAGTCCTGAGTCTGGAGCGAGTCTGGCAGGGAACTCCTACTGCAGCTGGGGTGTGGAGAACAAGCAGACAGTGGTTTGAGACAGTGAGAAGATGAGCAGGCCAGATGGTTGGGAGAAGCTTGGGTTTCCTTCCAAGTGTGGTAAGAGGCCTATGTAAGGCTTCCAGAAAGTGAGTGACCAGATCTGTAGGTCTTTAAGAATTCCCCGCTGGTTGCTATTTGGAGAACGGACTGTAGGGGGCAGGAGCGGATGGAGGAGACCCACTGAGAAGGGGAGGCTCATGTGGTTGTCCTGGCAAGAGATGATGGCTTGTACCAATTGGTGGCGCCCACCCAAGAGGTGGTTGGGAGTGGCACTGGATGCATGTTGGAAGAAAAACAAATCTGGTTTCCTTGCCTTGAGGTGGGTGTCTTGCGTGGGTGTTATCAGCCCCATCCATGGTGACATCTGCTTCTTTCAACTTTCAAATGGAGCAGGGTGTAGAGTGCAGTGGGATTCCTGCAGGAGGTTTCAAGAGCAGTTGCTTGGTGGCCACAAGGAGCCAGAGACCCCCCACCCAACATATGTTCCTCTTCTCTCCACTGACACTATGCCCATATCCCTCTACAGTTTGTAAATTACTCTTAACTCTTTATCGCTTGATGCTTACAATGAGGAACAAAGGCTCAGGAAAGCTGAAACTACCCAAGGCCACAAAGCAGGGTCCAGGGCAGGGCTGGGACACAAACCCACACAGCTGGTATTTGGCCATCTTGCCTCTGGAATCTTCATTCTGATGACTGTGGTGCACATAGAATGCACAGCCCTGTTCCAGAGGAAGGGAAACTGAAGCCAGGGAAATAAGGTTGCATGTCCTAGACAGCGCAGTTTTAAGGCCTCAGCAGCTTAACATCTATCAAGCATATTAAAATACAGCCACATCAAACATCAAATGCAAATTATAGCTAACCAAATAAAAGCAAAATTGCAAATGACTAGCTGACATCATGTTCTGTTTTCCAGGCATTTAATTAAACATTTATTAATTTCAATTCTGCAGTTTTTTTTCCCTGTGTTTTTAAAGCCAATTTTCCCCACAAGCCTCAAACACTCTCCTAAGCCCATGAACATCTCACAGGCCCCTGGCAGTGAGCAGTTAGCGCTGCCTGGAAGGAACAACCCTTGCTTTGGTCCTGTTGCCAAAAGGACAAGAGTGGGGCTGGGCTCAAAAAGGCTGGGCCTTTTGTCCCTAGGCTGCAGCGTGGTTTCTGTGCTACTCTTACACCCCCAAACTCCATGGGCAGGCGGCAGAAACCTCCTTTTTACCCCTCCCCATGCCAGGCCTGGACAACGTGAACCCTTTGTCTGCGGTTAGCTGGAAGCTGGCAGAAGAGAGAGCAGGAGTGGGCGGGGAGGTAGCAGGAGGCCTGCCAGGTGGTGACGGATGCTGGCGGGGCTGGCACCTCCCTCATCCTAACCTGGGCGGAAACAGATGGTCTTCTAGCTTCAGAGAAACTTCCAGGGTATTGCTCTTTCCCCAGCTCCCCAGGCCCCTGCACATTGGACCAGCTGGCCTCTCCTTCCTGTACGAAGTCAGAGCCACAGGAATGAGGAGGGCAGAAGTGGAGGCCTAGAATGAAGATCTGTGTTCTGGGGCCCCCAGAAGCCCTGAGACCACCTCCCCCCACCCCATAGCCCTCACCACTGACCACTTCTGGGTCTGTTCTCTTCCCCTCTGGTGCACCATTCCCTTAGCTCAATTCTGCCATTGCTTAGCCTGGAGGATCAGCCTCAGCCTCTCCTTGGCTTTCCTCCAAGCCAGCCCTCAGAGTGGGCTTTGGAAGCTCTGAGCTGATCCTATCACCTCCAATTCTGGAATTCAGATTAAAAATTAAGTCTATACTCTCCAGTCCAGATTCTTTTTTTCAGGGATGGAACCCAGGGCCTTGTGTATGCTAAACATGTACTCCAATATTGAGTAGACCCCTAGCCCTGCAGCCTGGAACTGGTTGCAGAATTTGATGAACTTTCGCAATATGATGAATTATGAAAATTCTGGTCTTCCTGGGGCCCCTGTCTCATAGGAAGCCTCCTGTCTGGGCCCAGCCCAGCAAACCTCAGCCTAGTCCCCCGGAAGGGCATGGGCCCTCATGGCCTCTGTACATTACATTTGCCCATTCTGAATGCCCTCCTCCCTTGCTGTCGTGTGTGTGTGTGTGTGTGTGTGTGTGTGTGTGTGTGTGATTTACTTTATTTGCACTTTATCTACATGGGTATATTGTCTGCATGTATGTTTGTGCAGTACCCACAGAAGAAAGCACTTGATCCCTTGAAAATGAAGGCCCAGACAAGCTGCTATGCAGGTTCTGGGATAGAACCAACTTTTTTGGTCTGGAAAAAAAACCAGTGTTTATGACCAACAAGCTTTCTCTCCAGCTCCCCCCACCACCACTAGTGTCTCCACTGTACTTTATTTGACTTGTTTTTTTTTTTTCCAGACAAAATCTCTTTTCATAGCCCAAGCTGGCCTTGAATTTGTTGTTCTCCAGACTCAACCTCCTCTCAAGCATTGGGATTACAGACAATGTGCACTTTAAAACCGAAATCAAAACCAGGCACAGTGATGCCTATAGGAAGGGTGGAAGGCAGTGGAGACAGAGGGATTAGGAATTCAAGACCTGAGCTAAGTAAGGAATTTGAGGTCAGCCTGGGTTACATGAGAATCTACCTTAAAAACAAAACAGCTGGACGGTGGTGGCGCACGCCTTTAATCCCAGCACTTGGGAGGCAGAGGCAGGCAGATTTCTGAGTTCGAGGCCAGCCTGGTCTACAGAGTGAGTTCCAGGACATCCAAGGGCTACACAGAGAATCCCTGTCTCAAAAAAAAAAAAAAAAGAAATAAAAAACAAACAAACAAAACAAATAGAAAATTAGCATGGTGTCACATGCCTGTAAAGCCAGCCAGCACTCAGAAAGCAGAGCCAAGTGGACTGGGAGTTCAAAGACATCCTTAGCTACTTAGTCCTAGACCAGCCTGGGCTACCACAGATACTGTCAGGAAAGAAAGAAGAAGAGAGAAGATGAAGGGAGAAACTATTTCTTGCAGAAAACCTTCCCTTGACTGCTCCTCTTCCTCAACAAAGTTTTTCATCTCGCTCTCATGGAAGGGTGAGATATGTAGGGACATAAACCTGATACAGAGCTAGCTTGAAGCTTGCCTGCTATATGACTGAATGATGCTGGCCGCAGGAATCCTTTGGTGTGTGTGGGGGGGGGGCAGGATGAAAAATGGATGACAAAGGGAGATGAATTACCACGACTCATCAGAAGAAACACAGTCCCGACCTAGGGCCGCTCGGCAGGCATGCAGACAGCTTCTTTCCCCTCCTGGCTACCAAGTGTCATATTGGGGATGAGTTAGCAGCATTAATTGGGGTCAAGAGGACCGCAAATTGAATGTTCTTGGCCACATTTTGGGGAACAGAGCCCAGGACTTAGAACACTAGCTCTGAAGCGTCAGAGCCACCACGCCCACCCTTCTCATTATCATCTGGAGACTTTATGGCGCCCTGGCTCCTTCCGAGGGCTGTCACCACAGCATGTATAGAGTTGGTCCCCTGGTTCCAGTGTCCTAGAAATGCCAGCACTTTCCCATCCCTAGTGATTCTGTTTGAAGATCAGGCAATAGGTCACTGGATCTGTGTCGGACACTCTCCATCCGTTTTCTGGGGAGGCCACTTTTAGAGAATTTCACTGTGGTTTGGACAAAGAGCATAACCTGCCATATGCATCAAAGTTTTTCCTGGACTGGGGAGAGATAGGTTCTGTGGTCCCAGTGGGATAACTCAGTTCCTCAAACCACGTGGACACTGGTCTTTATCATCCATCCTCTCTGCTACTTCAGAAGGAATGAGGACTCAATAGAGTAAATTAGAAATAGAGTCGGGAATTGAACTCAGACCTTATATCCTTCCCTTCCCGCTCCAAGTTTGTTGGAGCCATTAAAGTCAACCAACTTACAACTATGTATTCATTCATCTGTGAACACGTGAACTGAGCACCTCATGTGGTAAGAGCCGAGTGTGCTGAACTTAGCAGGTGATTGTAATCACTGGCCTGAAGCTCACAGCTGGGAGAGATGTGTGTCTAGCCAGGAAGTTCAACCTGCCGTGGGGAGGGCTGTAGCAGAAGAGGGTGGGAGCGGGGCTAGGCTGAGGGAGGCTCCTAACTCCCGCACATGGTCAATAGAAGCCTGATATTTGAAACAAGAGCAAGACTTACCCAGGTTTTGGAATGAGATGAGAATGGGGTGGGGGCGGGGCGGGGGGGTGTTCCAGGTAAAAGGAACAACAGAGGTGTAAAAGCCGGGTGGTGAGGAGGACCATTAAATGACCATGACTTGTGACAAGCAACTATGAAGTTTGTTGGGTGAGCAGCTTCTCTGAGTGGGTCAGGACTCGGGCCTGGCACCATCTGTGATCCATACAGGAAAACCATGAACGAATCTCTTCAAAGTTTCCAGTAAGAAGCGATGTGGTCTGTTCATTACTACCTGGAATTGAGTTCTGGTTCTGCTGTGTGATCTTGGGCAAATGCTATGGTCTCTGGCTCCCAGTCCCTTCCTTTAAACCTGAGATGAGGACAGGACTAGGCGAGAAGCTAATGGGTGCACTCGGTGCTTTGCAACCACGGCCCGCAGAGTCTACTTTACTGCCATGGTGTAGGTCCTGGAGGTGGAGGACCTGGCCCGGCGCGCAGGCTGAGGCTGGGGTAGGGAAAACACGAAACTGGAGGAGCCTAGACCTGAGTACCACCTCCCTTGCAGGTACCTGCGCGCCCTGTACCTGGGGCTGCAGAGCCGCTGGCGCGGGGAGCGGCTGCGTCGCCACTTCTACTGGCGGATGCTGTTCGAGAGCGCGGACGTGAGCATGCTGCGTCTGCTGGAGACCTTCCTGCGCAGTGCGCCGCAGCTGGTGCTGCAGCTCAGCCTGCTGGTCCACCGCGGCCGAGAGCCCGAACTGCTGACGGGTGAGCCCCACCCACCACCCGCTGGTCCCTGAGGATACCCTGCTCCTGGCTCCCAAAGCAGAGATGCTTGCCCAGAGTTTAGGGAACCACACTGTCCTCACTACCCTCTGGGCTCCTTCATACTTCTCCCGTCTGACTTGTCTCTTCCACTCTGATACCACCCCTCAGACGCCTTGAATTCCTCTTTCTCTTCCCTTGTTCCAGGGCAGACCTGCCTCTGCCCTTCACTCCCTCCAACAAAACTTAGGCCCCCTGAGGGAGCCCTCTACCGGCTATGTTCTACAAACTGTTTGCGTCCCAGCCTGCACCCTCTGGGGACCCCTTGCTTTACAGACCTGTTCAATCACCATCAATTTCCAGAGAATCTATCTACCTATCCCTTCACTGGATGTTCTGGTCTCCACCCTTGTAGCAGGTCCCGTTCACACCAACACTGCCCCTTCTGAAACACTCCAGTCCCAGAGAGTCAGTGTCACAGAAAAGCCACGTCACTTATCTCTAACGCAACTCACAGGCTTCCCACCCACAGGCTCCCTAGCCCAACCTCAGTGTCTCAAGACTCCATCACTAGCTCCAGGCCCCTTGGGGACGTCTTCTGCCCTCTCTCCAGCCCAGAATGCAGGGTCCCACGTGGGAGTCTCCCTTTAGTTCTGCCTAGCTTTGCTTGCCCCTCCATACCCAGCCTCATATCTTCTAATGGTGTCCTGACTCCTCTGTGACATAATTATCCCTTCTTGACCTACTCTTCCAGAGTCCTGGACCCCCATTTCCCACCCTCCACCAAGACCCCTGAATCCTGTCTACACCCCATACTAGAATCCTAGACTTTCTGCCTATGAGGATCACTCTCCCTTTATGCTCCCACACCCACAGAAGTATCCAGCCCATTCTCCCACCTCACCCCCATATCCTTGCCCTTGAAGACCCCCCCAACCAGACCTTCCTCACACCTGATCCACAGACCTTCACACCTGCTCAGAACCCAGGTCCTGACCCAGCACCTCCTCCTCTCCAGACCCCAACCTGGACCCACCCCTAACCCAGCCCACCCCACCCCTACCCTGTCTCCACAGCTCTCTCCATCTCTGCCTCCCTTGTGTCCCTGGCCTGGACGCTGGCATCCTACCAGAAGGTGCTGAGAGACTCCAGAGATGACAAGCGGCCTCTGTCCTACAAGGGTGCTGTGGTCCAAGTGCTGTGGCACCTGTTCACCATTGCAGCCCGAACCCTGGCCTTTGCCCTCTTTGCCAGCGTCTACAAGCTCTATTTCGGCATCTTCATTGTAGCCCACTGGTGCATCATGACCTTCTGGGTTATCCAGGGTGAGACAGACTTCTGCATGTCCAAGTGGGAGGAGATCATTTACAATATGGTGGTGGGTATCATCTACATCTTCTGCTGGTTCAACGTCAAGGAGGGCCGCAGCCGCCGCCGCGTGACACTCTACTACTGCATCGTGCTGCTGGAGAACGCAGCGCTCACTGGCTTCTGGTACTCCAGCCGCAACTTCTCCACAGACTTCTACTCACTCATCCTGGTCTGTGTGGTGGCCTCCAGCTTTGCGTTGGGCATATTCTTCATGTGTGTCTATTACTGTCTCCTGCACCCCAATGGCCCCATGCTGGGTCCCCAGGCACCTGGTTGCATCTTCCCTGAAGCCCCAGGGCCTTGTGGCCCTCCAGCTGATGCCATCACAAGTCCGCCAAGGTCTCTGCCGAGGACTACAGGCACCGAGCGGGATGGGGCCGCAGGGGGAGGTGAGAGAGCAGGGACCCCTACACCACCTGTCTTCCAGGTGCGACCCGGTTTGCCTCCCACGCCAGTGGCTCGCCCCTTGCGGACAGAGGGGCCTGTCATTCGGATTGACTTGCCTCGGAAAAAGTACCCAGCATGGGATGCTCATTTTATTGACCGCCGGCTCCGGAAGACCATCCTGGCACTGGAGTATTCCTCACCCGCCACACCCCGGTTGCAGTACCGGAGCATGGGCACCTCCCAAGAGCTGCTGGAGTATGAGACCACAGTATAGGCGCAGTTGGCCTCCCAAAAGGGACAGGCTTGGCTGACCCCACATTGACCACAGTGTTGAGTCTGGATTTTTCAGGGCCACCAGGCTAAGTGGGAGTAGATCTTTGGATCCAAGAATGGTCCCACCATTAAGATCCCTTAGGGCAGAGGGCAACCCCGTAGAGGCCCTAGGCCTCATTTTAAGCCCTGTGGCCCATTCTCTAAGTTCCCCTGGACCAGGGCACAGGGCGTCAACTGGTGCTACCCCTCATGGACTGCCCTGCTCTCTTGGAGATGCCATATAATGCTTGGCACAGGGGTCTTAACTCTCCCTGGCCTAGACTCATCTCACATCATCCCTGGTGAGCCTGCAAGAGAGGAGGCACTGCCTGGGGCCCAAGTACCCCTCAGGGAGTGTGGGGGAAGGGCTGCCTTGTGATGGGAGGGGATCTCTGAGAGAAGGATGGAGAAGGCTGTGGGGGGTGTGGGATAAGTTGGGGGGAATCTCTGGACAGGGTTGGCACAGTTCCTGTAGGAAGCAGAGCTGGACAGAAAGAGAATTAGAGCAGAGAGTCGGGGAGGGGACTTGGGGATCTGACAGCGCAGGTGTTGGCAGGATAGAGAACCCTGAGGAGTGTGGGCTGACAGCAATAGGAAGAGTGAGGTGCCTCTGCTTGGGAGGTGCCCTTGGGAGGAGTTCTATTATGGATGAAGTCTAGACCCCTCAAGTGAAAGGTCACAAGGTGCCATTTGTTCTAGATGTGCATATGGGATGTGCCCTCTAGAGGAAGGTCTTAAGCACAGCAGATAACATGTCCAGGGAGATTCTGTCCAGCTCAACTACAGATGAGGACCCATAATCTCACTCTGTCGCACTGAGAGAGGACCTGTTGGGGAGACATCTAGGTTCTAGAATACCTCTTGATAACATGTCCTGTGGAGCTGCTGATCTTTTATAAGGATCAAGGACCTGGAGCCCTGATGCTCTGATGTGGAAGATTCTAGCTTCTACTGTGTGTGTGTGTGGGGGGGGAAGCATGAGTCACCTGGGATGCTCTAGAAAGGGTGCTCTAGTTCTAGGCTGCCAGGGCTTCTGGGAGTTCTAGATCCCCTTCTATGTCCCCAGCCCTATCTTCTCTAAAAGGAAATTGTCCTCAGGACCCTTGAGACATTTCTGCTGCCAAGTGGTTCTCAGCTCGAGAGAAAAAAAATAGCTCTGGGGATGTGACATAAATTTTGGCTTCCTGCCACCCTGCAGTGAGGTTCTCTGGGGCAATATCTGGGAGACTAACTTGTTTTGCCTCAAATCTGCCAAGGCTCCAGGCCTGTGACCCATTCCCATGGTCCAGACATCTGCACAAAGGACCACTCATCCTGGTCTGGGACGGCCAGTCCTGACTGAGATGCAAGATGACTGAGGAGCAAGAGTTTTGTGAAATAGAAGATGGAGTTCTAGGCAGAGCCTGGAGTCCCTTGTCACTCTCCTACACCAAGTGAGATAAGCTCACTGGAAGGGGACAGCCTGGGACTTTAGGGACAGATAGGGCTGGAAGTATGGTGGGCCATGAGAATCCTACACTATGCAAATAAGAAGTATTTAGCCCTCCCTGGCTCAGCTTTTCTTGGAGGCTCAGGGTGGCAGCTACTCTCACAAGGTCCCATTAGTGCTGATGTGGCAATGGTTGATCTGCTGAGGACGCAGGGAGGGTTCTACTTTCAGCCTTAGTGAGGCTGAGAGGGCACACACGAGCACACATCACACCCAGGATACATACCATCATGCCTGGCACCACCGGGCGCTACATCTGTTCTGTCAGTGCAGAATGCTTTTTTTCCTCTTGCCTCCCAGAAGCCCTGAGAGGCCTCCAGAGTGACAGGTAGCCCTACCCTAACCCAGGCCTGCTCTGAGGGAGTCATTCACTCTCTTTTCCCTCTACCCAGGGCTAGCTTTGGAGACAAAGTCCATGGCCAGCTATACACATGTCACAATCTGTGAGACAGAGCATCGAGGATGGGCCCCAAACCCAAGCCGCTTGTTTCTGCAGGGCTCATGGTGCCAGGAATTGTCATCCCATCATTTACCTGACACTCTTCCTCTGTGTGTGACACCCCAACAAGAGCTGTACACTCATTCACACATCAATGAGGTGACATCTAGGCTGCCCTTGACAAGTTATTTTACACCCAGCCCCCAGGAATAATAGCCCTGAGGATGCTCCATTATCCTGCAGCCTAGAAGGAAAGGTTCTATATCCTCTGGCTGGTTGCTGCAGGAGGCCAGGGCAGGCAAGGGACCAGGATGAGCAGAGCTAGGCATGGCTGGAGGCCACTGGGAAGCCATGGCCATGTTTATCATTCTAATCTCACAAAGCTTTTCCCAGGACCCTGCCTGCAAGAGGATCTGGGCACCAGGGAAGGTCATGGACAGAGGTCCTCACCCCTCTCATTATCTGGACAGAGTTCATCTGCCCCTAGTATTACCCCCCCACACACACCACTGAGTTCAGGACCCTGTCCTTCCTGGCTTGAGGCCTCTTGTTATTGGCCTGTGTTTTTGCTTCACTAGGGCAGAAGAATCCGAGTTGAGGAAGGTCCCATCTTTTTGGAGCTGTTTTTTGGTTCCTTTCTCTGACACAATCTACCTCAATTGGTCTCTTTCCCCTGTCACAAGTGGATCTCTGGGGTCTGCCACTTCTGTTCCCAGACCATCAACCAAACCTGGATTCTTAGTTCTTCCCTTGATCCCTGTAAGGTTCTTTCAGTGAGAGAGGACTTTAGAACCACAACCATAAAGGAGGGGGCTCAGTAGGTCCCCAGAATCACTTGTTCTTCATATCTATTATATAGGAGAAACAGAGAGGGCCACACATTTGCTCAAGATCACACAGCAAGTAAATGGACCCATAGGGTTCTCCTGAGCATCAATAAAAGTTAGTTCTGTCTTCTTCAGGAACAGCAGATAATAGGACATCTTGGGAACAGAAATACTAGGCAGGCCCTGGCCTAGTATCTAATCCTGAGTCCTTCCTCTCCTAACCATGCCTCCTATTCCGTGAGCTTCTAACCTCAAACCAACTCCAGCTGTGCTCCTCAGACCTCCCCAGGCACCATGCATCCCTAACTGCACCTCCACTCACCAATGTACCATGTGCCTTGTAACGGTCACCCCAGCCGACAGCTTGGGCCTCCACCCTCCCTTGCAGGAACAGCTTAAAAATATGGGCTCGGTCCCTTCCGCCTATTATCCCCCAATCTACCTTATTCCCAGCCAAATCCCTCCTGCACCTATGTGTCCCTGAAGTTTGTCACCTCGAGGGCTGGAGAAACAGAGACCCAGGAAGGGTAAGACTGAGAATGTGCAGATTCCCAGAAGAGAACCAGAGAGGCTTGGGACAGTCATCCCCAAACACTCCCCTGAAGACCAAGGTTCTGCAGGCCCCTCCCCTTGCAGCTTGCCTGGGTTTGGGCTCTTTAAAGGTCTGACAGTGGGAGGAAGGTTCCCTGAGACAGGGTGCATGAGCATAAACTCAGAAATGGCCAGAAAGGAAAGTGGGATGGGTGGAGGTTTGAGAAAGCAGAACTGTGGCAGGAGGGTGTTCTGTGCCAATTAGGCAATAAGGTTTAGGCTTTGGAAAGCAACCTGCTGGCCACCAGTTTATTCATTAGGCTTCTAATGAATCTTCCCCTCCAGGGATGTCGGAAGCCTCTCGTACTTGGTTGTATCTAACCCTAAATGTCACCCTGGTTGTCTGGAGGACTCCAGGTCCCTGACTATTCCTAGCAAATACTAAGGGGTCAGCTGCCTAGGATCTGGAGTCTTTTTCTGGTTTAGGAGCTCCTGATTCAGAGGGACTCTCCAAGTAGAGGGAGAATCTAGGCACAGGTTTCTAGCTTAATGCCAAGAGCCCCAGTCCCATCCTCTGCGGCCTTACAGCTCTAGCTTCCACCTCCTTCCAGACTAAACCAGATGAGGCTCCAGGAGGGGAGATGAAATCTCTAGGCAAGTGTTTTGTGGCATCCCAATGGAAGAACAGGGTAAGTGCCAATTCCCACAGGAAGCATGGGGCAGGGGCCTGGGTCCCCTTTGGAGTCAAGGGCACTTCTGAGGCTTAGGAGAACAAGACATGTGTGCCATTCTGGTTGGGACACTGAGTTCTAGCTTGCCACTAGTAGATGCAGGAGAGGAAGGACCGTGTCAGGACACTGCAGGAGATGGGGTAAGGAAGGACCACTCCATCCAGGTCTGATTCCTGGCAGCAGAATCCCCAGGACACAGAACTGTCCCCAAGCTAGGCCCCTTCCACTGTAACCTCACACAAAGGCCACCCGTGCTCAGCATCTCTGGCCTTTTTTCTATGCACAACTCTCTAAGAGTCCCCAGGCCAAGCCGGATGGTGGAAGCTCAGGATACCTGCAATAATGTTAAAGTGGAGGGAGTCTTGGAAACAAAGAGGGAGTGAGGGTAGCCACAGAAGGGAGGAGGATACTCTTCATCTAGACAGATCTAACAGGACTCTTTCCCTGCCACTTTCCTGTCTCTGTTCCAAACCAGACATAAGAAAGGGTCTGAAATATCCCCAGAGCCCTCAGGATTCCCTGAGGATTTTGTGGCTTGAGAACTTTTTCCCCTCCCCCAACAACAACAAAAAAAGGCCACCTTAATAAAGCATTAATTTCACCACCCTAGACTAACAAGCTGAGCGGATTACAGAGGCATCCTAGTGAAGACTGATGTCAGCTTCCAAGACTCAAGTGTGAAGGACTTCAATATTGGATGGCTTAATGCAGAATATGCACGGATGCTTTGCCACTGTAGACCCTTGGGCAGGGCCTAGAACCCCCAAATTTGGTATCAGTGGCTTAATACCCAGTTACTTCTTAGTTTACAGAAGGGGCAGGCCCAGAGATGGGAGGCAACCTCCCCAAGCTTACACAGCAAGCTGGTGGTAGTCTAGGACTAGAGCCAAGGTCCCTTGGGAGGGGGATCCCACCAGAATACCTTCACCTCTGATACCTGCCACATGTCCACAGGAACCGCTAGCCATGCCTAAGGGCCCGACTTCCCTGTCAGCACAACTCCGTGACTCTTCCCCATGTTCTCCTTCTCCTCTGTGGTCAGTCCAAACTTCCGCCCGCTTCTTAGCCTACTCCTCGGCCCACTTCCTGGTATTTACTACATCTGTGCCATTCCCAGCCCCGCAGCCCAACTTGCCCTCTCGAGCTTTCCCTGGTCAGGGGAGGGGCCACGCTGGGACTTCTGTACTGAGACTTTTGTACACCACAGACTTTTTGTATATTTTTAATTTTGCTGCAACATGAGATATTAAAAGTCATTTCAGTACATTCTGCTTGTGTCCCGTTTGGTTATTCTGGGCCAGGGCCAGGGGAAGAGAAAGAACCACTTTCCATCAGGATCCCTTTAAAGGCACATGAGTGGGGAAGAGCGGGACATTATCCTCCCTGTTGGTTGACTAGACCCTCAATCAATCAATCAGACTCTCAGCCTGAATCTTCCGAGAGATTTTCTCCAAGTCCATTTTACAGAGAAGGGGGAAAGACGGGAGGTGGGAACATACTGTTCCAAGGTTGTAGAAAGAATTCTTACAAAAGCCAGACTCAGCTCCCAACTCAACTGAAATGTGCACTGTTTATGATTTGTGTGCCAAGGAAATAGTCTATGCACTGTGACCAGAGCTGACCTTGGGGGCCTTGGTAGAAGAGATGCCTTCCCGTTAGGGTTTCTACTCCCACTCTGCTGGAGATTGGGTACAATGCACACAGTTAGTGGGGACACGCTACCACTGATCTGCACCCAACTCAGCATT